AAGTTGGGTGGGTGGGAAAAATAGAGCAACCCAACCTTTCTGGTTGTGGTGGGTCACATTCAATATACGCCGCCGCGACATATGCCGCCCCCTCACACCCTCTGGGTATGTTGGGGCGCCATCTCCGCATGAAATCTACTGCCGCGGCGCGGCGAGAAGCCCTAAACCCTAAACCCTAAACCTTAAACCCTAAACGCTAAACCCTAAACCCTTAAGCCCTAAACCCTTCAACCCTCAAACCATAAAACCCTAAAACCCTAAAACCCTAAACCCCTAAAACCCCAAAAACCAAAAACCCTAAAACCCTAAACCCTAAACCCCTAAACCCCAAACCCTAAACCCTACACCCTAAACCCTAAACCCGCAACACTCTCAGAGCAGCAGCGAGGGCCCTGAGTGCTGAGGACGATGTAAATGTGACGACCCTGGCACCTCGCTCTGCAGGGTCGACGTTTAGGGTTCAGGGTTCAGGGTTCAGGGTTTAGGGTTTAGGGTTTAGGGTTTAGGGTTTAGGGTTTAGGGTTTAGGGTTTAGGGTTTAGGGTTTAGGGTTTAGGGTTTAGGGTTTAGGTGAGGGCTTGAAGAGGTCGGCTTCGCACGTCTCAGGTTTCTACTCACTTGCCCAGACGTTTTTGGGTAGAGGACTACTTGGAAGCTTCTTCGCTTCGAGGGTCTGTGGTTAGGGTTAGGGTTTGGGGTTTGGGGTTTAGGGTTTAGGGTTTGGGCTTTAGGGTTTAGGGTCCATTCCCCGTGTAGGGAGAAGATATGGGGTACCGCCGAGTCCGAAACCCTAAACCCTAAACCCTAAACCCTAAACCCTAAACCCTAAACCCTAAACCCTAAACCCTAAACCCTAAACCCTAAACCCTAAAAGCACCCTTTCCTTGCTGAAGGCAGTGCCGGTGACCAGGGTCAGCCCCTCCGAGGGCTTCAGCACTGGCATCTCCAACGATGGCAGCTGGGCCTTGCAAAGATGAAGGAGGGTTTAGGGTTCAGTGTTCAGGGTTTAGGGTTTAGGGTTTAGGGTGAAAGCTTCTATGTAGTACCTGTATACTACCTTTTTACGGCAGTATACCACAATCCCCTAGAACCAAATTTTGGTTTCGTCGTTTACCCCTCTCGGAGCTGTCGTTCAAACTCCTGACGCAGGGAATGTCAGGAGACGGTGTCTTTGCCTTCTTCTGGCGGTTGAAGGTCCGACAAGGAACCCTAAAACCTAAACCCTAAACCCTCAACCCTCAACCCTAAACCCTAAACCCTCAACCCTAAACCCTAAACCCTCACCCCTCACCCCTCAACCCTCAACCCTCAACCCTAAACCCTAAACCCTAGGCCCTTGACCCTAAACCCTATACCCTAAACCCTAAACCCCAAAGCCCAAAGCCCAAGCCCGAAACCTAGCCCCTGAGCCCAGACGACGAGGCTGCCAAGTCTCTAAGCATGCAGGCCCGAAACCCAAAACCCCAAAGGGCCCTAAACCCTAAACCCTAGTCCCTAGCCCTAAACCCCAAACCCGAAACCCTAAACCCCACAGCCCTACAAGGCATGAACTGCATCGACGCCGAGCCTCCCTTCACGACGACATCGACCACGACAACCACCACCACGGTGCCTGGCTCCACCTTAACCGGCCCAAACTAAACCCTAAACCCTAAACCCTAAACCCTAAACCCTAAACCCTAAACCCTAAACCCTAAACCCTAACCTCTAAGCCCTAAGCCCTAAGCCCTAAACCCTAAGCCCTAAGCCCTATAGGCCCTTGCACCCGAAAGGCCCACCCTAGAGCCTAGCCTAAACTAGGCTTAGTTATCCAAACCTATCAGGGGGGGGGGGGGGAGTATGGAGGGGGGGTAAGTAGGGAACCCACCACTTCCCCCCGCCCCCCCCCCACCCCACCCCCCCCCCCCCCCCCCCCCCCCCCCCCCCCCCCCCCCCTTGACTTGTGGTCTTTGTTTAGGATTCAGGGTTTAGGATGAGGATGCTCTGAGGTTGTGGGTGTTTTGGGATTTCTGGTTGAGGGATTCAGACAGTTTTGGTCGGGCACGGTGTCTTTCTTTTGCCTAGGCGTGGCGGGCCTGTGTGTAGTCACCATCTTCGCACTACGAAATGCTACTGCGATGACTCATCAGTCCTAATTACGACCTAAGACTAGTTCTAGTTGGGATGTGCCCCTCTTTTATTCACAGCTCCTTAATGCGGATAAGAGTACCCCCGAGTAGAAGCCCTATCAAGGATTGTTAGTATAAGGGGGAACATCCCAAACAGGATCTGAATTGGTCACTTGTGCAACTTTAGCCCCTTGGCCCACGACACCAAGGAAAAGGAAGGGCCATGAGTAGCAAGAAAGCACCTCCGCCGTTCAGACGCGTGTCGGAGCCGCGAAAGCCTGAAGCCCTCAACCTCCAACATGGAATAGGGGTTTAGGGTTTAGGGTTTAGGGTTTAGGGTTTAGGGTTTAGGGTTTAGGGTTTAGGGTTTAGGGTTTAGGGTTTAGGGTTTAGGGTTTAGGGTTTAGGGTTTAGGGTTTAAACCCGAAACCCTTAAAAGCAAAACAGGCAGATCGCAGGCCATTAGGCTCTGGACCTGCCGGGGGGGGAGACAAAATCTAGCACCAAGGAAAATTGTTGGACTGCATTGAAAAGAAATGCCTCCCTAAACCCTAAACCTAATCCCTAAACCCTAAACCCTAAACCCTAAACCCCAAACCCCTAAACCCATCCTGGACCTGGATCTCAGATCCTCATCTTCCCATGCACCAACGAGCCCTTCGACTGTACGAGCGCCGGCCGCCTGGATGTGAACCTAGGGGTCCTGCGCAAGGGTCTAGGGTTTAGGGTTTAGGGTTTAGGGTTTAGGGGGGCCTTCAAGAACTCAAAGAAGAGCCCTCCCTACCCCCACACCTCAAGACCTAAGTCAACCTTTAAAGCCACTTCCTGAAACAGACACTGAAGCCCCCATGCCCTGAACTACCCTGGACCCTAAACCCGAAGGCCCAAAACCCCGGGAAACCCAGAAACAACACCCGCAAGAAGCCAATCTTAAACGCTCCTCGGATCTAAGCTCCCCTAAACCCAAAGCCCTACACCCTAAACCCTAAACCCTAAACCCTAAACCCTAAACCCTAAACCCCCGGAGATCCACAGGGCCGGCATTCAATGCTCCCATGACGAGCGTTCGGGCCAGCGGCAGCAGGGGCGACATCTACAAGCTGAATGCTCCTCGCGGGCCATTTTATGTAGGGTTTAGGGTTTAGGGTGTAGGGTGTAGGGTTTAGGGTTCAGGTTTACTTAGGGGTTTGGGGTTTAGGGTTTATCTAAGGGTAGTTTCATGGGCCCTTGGTATGGTCCCCTAATTTGTCTAGGGGTATATAAGGTACCCTTTTCAGGGCCCATACTAAGGGACCATGTAACTACCCGAAGAGTTCAGGATTTCGGGTTTCGGGTCAAGGGATGTTGGTTTTTCTTGCGGGTTTTTTTTGGCGGCGGGATGACACAGCCCCTTTGTGAAGCCGCGTGCCACGTGCAGTCGCAAAAGCTTAAGCCCAACATGCCCGACCTTTAGGGTTTAGGGTTTAGGGTTTAGGGTTTAGGGTTTAGGGTTTAGGGTTAGGTACCTGGCTTGCATTTTCGTCGGAGAATGCTTTGGGTCCACCAGTATAGCTATGTTTTAGTAATTATACGGGGCGTATGTAATATCAGGGTCTTGGGGGGGGTTTCCTTCCGTTAATATGAGGGGGGAGTGGGTTGTAGGATGAAGAGGTGCGGGTTTGTAGAGTTTGGGGTCAGCCTTTGCCTTTCTGTGCGCAAGTTGGGCCTCATGACTGGCTATGTCCCCTTGGAGCCTAAGCACTAAGGCGCTAACATAAAGACCCTAAGCCCTAAGCCCTAAACCCTAAGCCCTAAGCCCTAAGCCCTAAGCCCTAAACCCTAAACCCTAAAACCTAAACCCTAAACCCAAACCCCACATGGAGCAAGGCTGGGCAGGACCCTAACAGCTACACGTCTCTTGGCTGCACAGCTGCTGTAGCTCACGGAGCTCTGCCACGAGAAGCTGCAGGCTTGAGGGCAGTGCCTTTAGGGTTTAGGGTTTCGGGTTTCGGGTTTAGGGTTTAGGGTTTAGGGGGGTTCAAAAGGCCAAAGGTTCAGGGTGTTAGGGTTTAATTAGGGTTGAGGGGATATTCTTGCAAGGCAGTCTTTGTGGACATTCTTTTCACCTGCCAAAGACTGGGAGCAAAGTCGAAAGATTCGATATCGATTCTCAGCATGGGCGCGCGCGCTGTGAAACCTGCAGACCCAGACAAGGTCGCTGCTTCTTTCTGCTGCTCAAGCACAAAGTCTCGTGATAGCGATCCTTGTGCACTGGTGATTCCTCGCTTTACGCAGGGAATCCCTCGATGTTGTGATATACAGAGGCTGACAGAGGACTTGCTTCACGATGTGTGGTGGGCCTACACAGTGCGCTGGGCGCTTGACATGTGTTGGAGGCGAGAGTGTGGATAAGACCTGCTGGCCCCGAATCCGTCCACTGGCTCTCAAGTCTTGGTTTCATTCTTCTACGCTTCCCCCTATACACCTGGACTTTGCGGAGGGCGTTTTTCCCTGAGTGCGAATTGTTTACAGGTGGCTGATTTTCGCTCAGTCCTGCATGGGCGCGGTCTTCGCTTGTGGAGCACACTGGTACTGACCAGGAGGCATGGTCGATGACCATCATGTGGGACGTGGGCCCTGCAGGCTGTGCCCGCTGCAGTGCGCACCGGGTGCGTGCCAGCTGTGGATTGTGCTTCTTCCCTTGGTCAGTTGGCTCTTTCTTGAATTCCTTGTCGCACTCGCCAAGCTACAACGGTTATGCATGCCAAAGAGGCAGCTGGGTGCCACATGTTTTGCGCAGTTGGGTTTGTCATGCCTGCCACGGGAGCTGCCTTGCTCGTTTGCAATGCCAGCTGAGAAATCCTGACTGCGTGAAGCTCTAGCGTTCTCTGAGCAGACAAAATCTGGTTCGCCCATGCTTCCTCCTGTGAATGTCAGCGTCCTGCAACTGAAGAGGAGCTTGAGAAGGCATATTGCAAGAATGAAGGGATATTCTTGCAAGGCAGTCTTTGTGGCTGTTCTTTCACCTGCCAAAGACTGGGAGCAAAGTCGAAAGATTCGATATCGATTCTCAGCATGGGTGCACACGCAGGGAAGCCTGCAGACCCAGACAAGGTCGCCGCTGCGTTCTGCTGCTCAAGCACAAAGTCTCGTGATAGCGATCCTTGTGCACAAGCTTTCGCAACCCCACCTAGGCTACGCGCCCTCCCTAGTTTAGCGTACCCGGGGGGCGACAAAGCGCGTGGGTGTCCAAAATGAAGCTCTAACTTACAAATCTGCCCGCAGGCGTTCTGAGCAGACCAAATCTGGACTGCGTGTTCCCGCGCGCTTCCTTCTGTGAATGTCAGCGTCCTGCAACTGAAGAGGAGCTTGAGAAGGCATATTGCAAGAATTAAGGTTTAGTGTTCACGCGCTGCCTTTTTCCATGGCTGGGCAACAGATGCTTTTCAGTACGACTCTGAAGACAATGTCAAACAAACACGGCAAGTACAAGCTTGTCTTTAGGTACTCTGTACATACATGAAGATGTTGACATGAACTCTGGCTCTAAGGGGTTTACTCCGTAGCCTTCCCCTAGCAGCAGCAAACATAAAACTATACACTGCGCAGCCTCGCACCTCACACCTTGGGATGTCACAGCCTTGAATTTTTTCAACACTCCTCCTTGGTGTGGTCGCCAGACCTTCGCGCGCACTGCGCTCTGTAGCAATGTGTAGGGTTTGAGGTTTGGGGTTTGAGCTTAAAGGCTTAACCGTTTAACCCTTAGGGTGAGCCCCCAAGCCCAAGCTCCACACGCAGATATGTGGCTTCAGTATGGAACCCGAGAGCGATATGTCCGGCACGCGGTTTAGATTCAAGGCCCTGTTGCGTTTGAGGGCGCCCTGAAGCCCATTGTTTCACCAGCCGTGTCAGCTAGACCCTCTAAGCCTTGTTGAGTTGCCCTGAACTTCACACCTGCCCCAATGTCGAAGCCTCCTGAGGATGCTGTGCAACCTCGCAGTGGATGCAGACCTCGAAGCATGCGGAATCAATCCAGTGGAGCTCTGTAAGCAGGGAATTTGGGGGGGGGGGGGGAATGAGGGAATCCGGTACGGTCTAGAACCTGAACCCTCAACTCCAGCGAAACGCCGCTGTGCTCATATTCATGTTGGGATGTTGCGTCCTTAATAGGGAGGAAACATAGGGGTGTACTAGAATCCTTATTAAGGACTGTTTGTACAAGGGGAACATCCCAGTATTCATGGTCATTTCAGGAATATTCCCAGCTTCAATGCTATCTAGGGGTCGGAAGAACCACTAATAATAGTCCCGTATGGTCCCTGTATAATTATCCTAGAATCACCCCCCAAAAGTCAGGATTCAAACTCTTATTACCTTCACCTTAAACCCTAAACCCGCAACCCCAAGCCCCAAACCCCAAACCCTAAACCCTAAACCCTAAACCCTATTGCCAACCCGAAAGCCTGCAAGCCCTCGACGCCCAAACTGTAGGACAGCATGATCTACTGCACGCAGGGAGGTGGCGACCGTGCCCGGGCACAGCCAAGGGTACAAGCTGCAGGGGCAGGGGGGTTTTGCGGGGCTCCAGTGCTTGCTTGGCCCTCCATTGTTTTTTTTGGAGTTTGGGGTTTCGGGTTTAGGGTTTAGGGCTTGAAGCTGTGCACATGTAGGGTGTAGAAGTGTCTAGGGGTTTGGGGGGGTTTGGGGTTTAGCGGCTCGGGGTCGTTTTCTGGGTTTTGGAGCGAGAAGAGCTTTGAACTAAACAAGGAACGAAAGAGCGACAAAAAGGAGAATGACGGAATGAAAGAAAGACGTAACGAAAGAAAGAGATGGACAGAGCAGAGAGAGGACATAGTGAGACAAGGTCCGCAAATGAGTGTTGTGTGGGTGCACGTATGTTTCAGAAAACTGCGCATGAAATGAAGCATCATGACACATGCCCTGTTCCCAACACCGGATTCTTAACATTCCTACTCGCAGCTCAATGACTTATGGGACGGTGGCCGAGTCTCAAAGTTTCCTGGGCTCAGGGTACTGATTAACCAATGACAGCCTCGTTGTGAACCCTAAACCCTAAACCCTAAACCCTAAACCCTAAACCCTAAACCCTAAACTCTAAACCCTAAACCCTAAACCCTAAACCCTAAACCCTAAACCCTAAACCCTAAACCCTAAACCCTAAAGTTTAGGATAACCCACTTCTAAGCCTTTGAAAAGCGCCCGAGTAGTATCGTTACAAGCACAGTTGGAAGTACAGTTATAATTGGTTAAGCACCCGGCCATGAACCTCCAAGTACCCTAAACTTTAGGGTTTAGGGTTTAGGGTTCAGCAGCTCCGGGTCGAGCAATCTCTAGTAGAGCAACTGTTTGGGCTCTCGAAAAAACCCACCCACCCAGAGAATCCCAACGCGTGTGGGCCAGGACAAGGCCAGACCCTTGAGTGCCCAACAGGGCCGGTCGATTTGGACAAGGCCAGACCCGCGAGTGCCGAACAGGGCCGGTCGATTTGGAAGGGCCAAGAGTGCCCAACAGGGCCGGTCGATTTGGAAGGGCCAAGGCCAAGGCCAAGGCCGTGCGCCCGCAGGCCAGGACAAAACCAGACCCGCGAGTGTTCAACAGGGCCGGTCGATCTGGAAGGGCCGAGGCCGAGGCCAAGGCCGCGCGCGCGCGGGCCAGGACCAGGCCAGACTGCCCAACAGGGCCGGTCGATCTGGAAGGGCCAAGGCCAAGGCCAAGGCCGCGCGCGCGTGGGCCAGGACAAGGCCAGACCCTTGAGTGCCCAACAGGGCCGGTCGATTTGCTGACTATAGGGTTTAAAGATATATAGGTAAGAGAGGTTTCGGGTTTAGGGTTTAGGGTTTAGGGTTTAGGGTTCACAACGAGATAACGTTCGAAGATCCCCAGGGCAGTTGATGCGCATTACCTGCCCGACTGATGGAAGCGACTCGGCTGGGTGCAAAATGCAGTTTAGGGTTTAGGGTTTAGGGTCTAGGGTTTAGGGTTTAGGGTTTAGTGCAAGCTGGTGGGTGCCCGCCCACTGAGCCCCCCACTGAATTCTCAAGATTCGGGAAGTTAGGCCTACACAGGGTTCGTGGGGGCTCAGGGTTCGGGATATAGGGTTTAGGGTTCAGGGTTTAGGGGAAGCCCAACGACCGGAGGGGTATTCAGGTCCCCTAAACCTAGCAGGGGCCCTGAATCTTATTCCTCTATGGCCGATATATACCGCATATAGTCCCCAACCTACTAACTAATAAACCCCTAAATATCTCCCAAGATCCCTTTTTTGGGTCCCTCCTATAGTCCCTTGAGAGAATGGGCTTAGGTTTGCGGGTGAACCCTTTAAAGGGACAGTATTAACAGAGTCCCCCTGCCCATAAGTACGGGGGATAGAGGGTATCTGAGGGGGAGCTTGGGGGCGTTCTAGGAATATATTAGAGTTCGTGTTTCATCAGCACTGAGTATGTCAGACTCAAACGGATAGCACTCTAATCTTCTGCCCTGAAAACCTTTTAGCTACAGAATCCACGTCCTCTTGTCTCAGGCGCGGGCACGGTCTGTTACCTGGGCCGTTTCAACAACGTCAACGCGGGCAACTTCCGCATCTCGGCTTCGGCGGCCGGCTTTGGGGGGGTTTGGGTACTCAGGGCCCTACACCCTAAACTCCAATCAGCCCTCAACAGTCTAAACCCTACCTTAAACCCTAGACCCTAGACCCGAAACCCTAGACCCGAGACCCAATAAGCTCTAACCCCTGCAACGCTCAACCCCTCCTAAGCACGGTCTTGCCTTCGAAAGACGGGCCCAAAATGAGCTGAGGAGGGCAGCCTGAGAAGGTTTGTGTGGGGTTAAGGGTTTAGGGTTTAGGGTTTAGGGCTTAGGGTTTAGGGTTTAGGGTTTAGGGCTTAGGGCTTAGGGTTTAGGGTTTAGGGCTCTGGGTTTAGGGTTTAGGGGTTTGCCTTTTCAGCAGGATTTAGAGTGTAGGGTTAGGGACGCCGAACGCGCATTTCTAGCTTGGCACTTCGGGTTAGGTTCTCGGGCTTAGGGGCGAGGGTCTCCGGTGTTGGGGGTTTAGGGTTTAGGGTTTTAGAGATCGGTAGGGTAATCCCTAATCCCTAAACCGTAAACCCTAAACCCTAGACCCTAAACCCTAAAACCTGAACCCTCAACCCTAAACCCTCAACCCTAAACCCCAAACCCCAAACCCCAAACCCCAAACCCCAAACCCCAAACCCCAAACCCTAAACCCTAAACCCTAAACCCTAAGCCCTAAAGCCAAGCAAAACACAAAAAATGAACTTACCAAATCAAAACACAAAAGGGCAGAAATAGAAGCAAAGAGGGCTGGTACTCAGGGCTCCCCCAATGGCCATTCACACCCTAAACCCTAGTGTTTAGGGTTTAGAGTTTAGGGTTTAGGGTTTAGGGTTAAGGAGTTATCCTAAACCCTTTGCAACTCCTGCTTTTCTGGAGAAGGGGTTGAGACTCCCAAGGCAGCAACGGAGACTACGTAGCGTCGCGCCCCGGCGCCACCGAAATCTGGATTCTGCCAGGTGGGTCTTACCCGCTAGACCCTAAACCCTAAACCCTAAACCGCCTAAACCCTAAACCCTCGACCCTCAACCCTAAACCCTAAACCGCTCCCCCCCCCCCCCAAAGAAAAATCTCAGTCTTGGGCACTTGAAGGTTCATGGTACTTGTTAACCAACGATATCTGTCCTTCTAACTGTACTGATCATAAACCATATTAGGGCCCTTAAGAATTAAATTCCCAAGGGTCCATGTACCTAATTATTACGCTTGGGCCCCAAATGCCTTGTATAGCAAATACTTTACGGCCCAAGCATTCCCTAAACACCCAACATCTGCCCAACGGGAGTTCATCCTCCCTGTTTAGGTACATGGACCCTTATAGGGGTAGCTTAGCTGCACCTTCTTTGTGCCCAAGTTGCCCAACAAAACGAGAAATGCAGGGTGGCGAGCCTCGGCGCCCAGAAAAACCCAAGCTCTAAACGTGGATGGACGGCAAGCCCTTAATTCTACATGGAGGCGTTGGCAAACCCTAACTAGTCATCCCCAAAGGGAGATCTCCCCCCCCCCCCCCCCCCCCCCCCCA